AAACTTCCGAGGAGCACGTGCAGCTGCTGCTGGCCACAGGCTGGGGGTGGGAGATGAGTAGCTGTTAAAGGGCTAAGAGCTGAAATCGAGCAAATTTAACTGCCACTTTACTATCCAATCCTTTCCCTGGAAGTGCCAGCCTTCAGTAGACCTTGAGATCCAAAATAGTTACATTAACAGATCCTGCCAGAGCAATTGTCAGTGGAGGGTAGATTCCTTGATATTTCCTTCTCTGCCATCTTCTTGAAAGTTTCTTTTTGCAGAGCAGAATTTTTTATTTTTTTTTGACCTGAAGACTAGTTTGAGAAGTTTTATTTTTAATAGAGTCCAGCTTATGAATTTTTCTTTCAATATAAGTTTTCTTTTTTGTTTCGTGTTGTTTTTTTTGAGACAGAGGTCTCGCTTTTTTTCCCAGGCTAGAGTGAGTGCCATGGCGTCAGCCTAGCCTCACACAACCTCAAACTCCTGGGCTCAACCAATCCTCATTGCCTCAGCCTCCCAAGCTAGCAGACTACGGCATGGCGGCCACCGATGCCCGGCTAAGGTTTTCATATATATTAGTGGCCAATTAATTTCTTTCTGCTTTATAGTAGCAGGAGGGGTCTCGGCTCTTGCTCAGGTCTGGTCTCTCGAACTCCTGGACCTCGAGCACATCCACCCGCCCCTCAGCCTCCCAGAGTGCTAGGATTACAGCGAGAGCCACCACGCCCGCTCGTAATATAATGTTTTTTTGTTTGTTTTTTTTTTTTTGAGACAGAGTCTCACTTTGTTGTCCAGGTAGAGTGAGTTGCCGTGGCGTCAGCCTAGCTCACAGCGAACCTCAAACTCCCTGGCTCAAGCAATCCTCTGCCCTCAGCCTCCCGAGTAGCGGACTACAGGCATGCGCCACCAATTGCCCGGCTAATTTTTTTAGTATATATATCAGTTGGCCAATTAATTTCTTTCCGTGATTTTATAGTAGAGACGGGTCTCGCTCTTGCCTCAGCGCTGGTTTGGGAACTCCTGACCTTGCAGCAATCCGCCGCCTCGGCCTCCCACAGGACCTAGGATTACAGGCGTTGAGCCACACGCGCCCTGCCCTTCAATATATTTTAGACTCATTCCTCTGTTGTACTTCATTCCTTTTATAGCTGGATAGATAATCTATTCTGTTGTGATTGCTGGTACACATTTTGTTTTAATCATTCATCAGTTGATGATATATAAGTTGTTTCTACACTTTGGCTATTATGAATAATGCTGCTGTGAGTATTTGTGTACACATTTCTGGTGGATATATGTTTTCATTTCTCTGGTTTCAGTTTTTGAGGAATGATCACAGCTTTCCAAAGTAGCCGCACCATTTTATATGACCACCGGCAGTGTTTGAGGGTTCCAATGTTTCCACATCCTCTCTAGCACTTGTTATTGTCTGTTTTGTTTGTTTGTTTGTTTTTATTTTTGTTGTTGTTGAGACAGAGTGTCACTCAGTTGCCCTGGGTAGAGTGTAGTGATGCGATTTAGCTCACCAAAAGCTCCAACTCCGGGGCTGTAAGTGATCCTTCTGCCTCAGCCTCTGGGTAGCTGGGACTACATGGTGCACACCACAATGCCCGCTGGGTTTTGTCATTTTGGTATTTTTTTCTTATTTTATTTTTCTTTTTTCTGTTTTGTAGAGATGGTCTCACTGTGCTCAGGCTGGTGTCAAACCCCTGAGCTCCAGCTATCCTCCTGCCTTGGCCTCCCAGAGAGCTAGGATTACAGGTGTGAGCCACCAGCCCGGCTGTTTGTGTATTTGGAGACAGAGTCTCGCTCTGTCCAGAGGTAAAGTGCAGTGGTGTCATCATAGTTCACTACAGTCCGAACTCTGGGCTCAAGCGATCCTGCTGCCTCAGCCTTGAGTAGCTGGGACTACAGGTGCACACCACCACACCTGGCTAATTTTTCTATTTTTTTATAGAGATGAGGCCTTGCTCAGGCAAGTGTGAAATGATATCTCGATTATGGTTTCGTTTGCATTTCTCTGATAACTAATGATGGTGAACATCTTTTGATGTGTTTATTACCCATTTGTGTATCTTTTTTGGGGAAATGTTTATTTGGATCATTTGCTTTTTTAATTTTTTTTTTAGACAGAGTCTAAGAGAGAAGGCCCACCCCGAGAGTCAGCAGACCCAATGGGGCAGCCAGCACTGAAAGCTGAGGAGCGCAAGGTAAATGGCGACGGGGGGGAGGCGCGCCTGCAAAGGGAGTTGAGATGCTGCTCCCTACTTCCACAGCGCCTCTCCTCGCTGAGCCTAGCCGCTAAGCCAGAGCAGTCTATGATCCACTCCTGGTGCTTTTCTAGAGTCTGCAATACATAGTCACTACCCAACTTTAACCTGATTTTTTTTTTAAAGACAAAGTCTTACTTTGTTGCCCAGGCTAGAGGAGAGTGCCGTGGCGTCAGCCTAGCTCACAGCAACCTCAAACTCCTCAAACTCCTGGGCTCAAGCGATCCTGAACTCCTGGGTTCAAGCAATCCTCCTGCCTCAGCCTCCCAAGTAGCTGGGACTACAGGCATGCGCCACCATGCCCGGCTAATTTTTTTTAAATATATATATTAGTTGGCCAATTAATTTCTTTCTATTTTTATAGTAGAGACGGATCTTGCTCTTGCTCAGGCTGGTCTCGAACTCCTGACCTCGAGCAATCCGCCTGCCTCGGCCTCCCAGAGTGCTAGGATTGCAGGCGTGAGCCACTGCGCCCGGCCTTTAACATGATTTTTATTCATCTATAGTAGGCCCCAGAGCAAATATAAGCCATGGGGAATTTCAAAGTCTCTTGATTGCATTTAACACAGGATAGTCTTCACTTACATAAGTCTTCAGTATTATGTCTTTTTTTTTTTTTTTGAGACAGTGTCTCACTTTTGTTGCCTGGGCTAGAGTGCCCTGGCATCAGCCTAGCTCACTGCAACCTCAAACTCCTGGGCTCAAGCAATCCTGCCTCAGCCTCCCGAGTAGCCTCGACTACAGACATGCACCACTATGCCTGGCTAATTTTTTCTATATATTTTTATTTGGCCAATTAATTTCTTTCTATTTTTAGTAGAGATGCTCTTACTCAGGCTGGTTTTGAACTCCTGACCTTGAGTGATCCTCCCGCCTCAGCCTCCCAGCGTGCTAGGATTACAGGTGTGAGCTACCATGCCCGGCATTTTTTTTAATGGACTATATATATTCTGTCCATTCTGTCCAGAGTAGTTTTAGGTTCACAGCAAAACTGAATGGAAAGTACAGAGATTTCCCAAATGCCCTTCCTTGCTCATTTAAAAGTGGTGTAACACACTAATGAGTGATCACTAATTCTTGCTTCGTGGCTATCATGGGTTGGCAGTGTTTCTGCTCCCAGTCACCTCACTCCAGGATGCAGGCTGATGAAGCTTCTCCCTGGGAGGGAGAAGAGGAAGAGGAAGAGGAAGTGGGAGGTCGCCCACTTGCTCTTAAAGCTTTCAGCCAAAAACAGTACATGTCACTTCCACTCACATTTCAGTGGCAAAGCAAGTCATCCAGTGGTACCTAACTTCAGGGGGATATGCAATTTTCCCATGAGCCTGAAAGGAGAGTGTGTGAATATTTATGAGCACCCCTAATTACTCACAGGAGTTAAATAAGGGGCTTTTTGCAGGACTTATCAGTGCCTTTATTATGCCATCATTCACTATCCCTTTCTGGAGGGAGTCGGATACAGCAGGTGAAATAGCCCAGACATACCCAACTGTGGAACCTTTTTCTCCTAGAGCATCTCATGGGATATGTGTTCCCCATAATCCCCTTTGGGAATCACTGTTTTCGCTGGTGGTTACTTCCTAAAGGAGGGATTGGCAAACTTTCTGGAAAAGCCCAGAAAGTAAATATTTTAGTTGTTTCAGACCATATGGACCAATTACTTGACTCTGCTGTCGTCGTGCAAAAGCAGCCATATGTAATACGTAAATGAATGAGTGTGGCTGTGTGCCAATAAAAATTTATTTATAGACACCGAAATTTGAATTTCATATAATTTTCCTGTGTCACAAAATATTATTCTTCTTTTGATTTTTCCCAGCCAATTAAATGTGTAAAAACAGTTGTCGAAACCTCAAGGGAGTTTCAGTCTAGGTCCAGTTGCTCATTGCACAAAGATCTAATTATTGAGAGAAGGAGGATCGCCAAGGAAGAAAGGAGTCTTTAATATGACAGTCATCTTGCCAGGAGAGCGGAGCAGCTGCCTCAGAATCCCTCTCTGTGTCCAAGGGAGCTGTGGGCTTTAAAGGAGGGGCTGCTTGCCTGGGGCGGGGCGGGCAGGTTGTGGGTCTCTCACCGGGGACTGCATGTGTGGGGCAGGGGGTGGAGGATGGAGAATGTGGCAGCAGGAAGTCTGCCCAGGGGCCTTTAGACTCTCAGCTCCTTTGTCTTGCAGAAAATCCACCAGTTCTGGGAAAGCACTCAGAAAGTCAAGCAGTTAATTAAGCCAGATGATTATATAGGGGTCATTGAAATTTGTTCAATGAGGGGCCAGTTACAAAACCATTCCTGGGTCAACAGGTTTGGAGGCTCATGCCTATCATCCCAGCATGTGGGGAGGCCAAGGTGGGAGGATCGCTGGAGGCTAGGAGTTCAAGACCAGCCTGGGCAACAAAGCAAGACCCAGTCTCTACCAAACAATAACAATAAAAAATTAGCTGCTGGTCCCAGTGCAGTGGTGTTTACAACTAACTGCTCACAGCCAGTTACAGATTCCTTTGTTCCTTCTCTACTCCCAGTGCTTCACTGACTAGCCTTTAAAAAAAAAAAAATCTTTTTTATAAAAAGATAAAAAACAGCAACTAGCTGAGCATGGTGGCACAAACCTGTAGTCCCAGCTAGTCAAGAGGCTGAGGCAGGAGGATCGCTTGAGCCCAGGAGTTGGAGGTTGCAGCGAGTGATGGTTGTGTCACTGCACTTCAGTCTGGGCGACAGAGTGAGACCCTGTCTCTAAAAGCAAACTAACAAAAATACCTGTTCTTAGCCCATGGGCTGCACAAAGCGGGCGGTGGGCTGGCTCTGCCAGCGGGCCGTGCTTGCTCGCCACCTTCGCCTGGCACGACGCTCCCCAGCCCGTTTTTCTTCTACCCCGTCTCTACACAGAGTCACGCCTGGGCCACGGCAGATGTTTTTGCAGGAACAAATCACATTCTTTCACTCCCCCGGGCCTTGCACAGCCTGTTCGCCCTTCTGGGAACGTCCTTCCAGCTCTTCTCTGCCTGGGAACCCTGAGGCCTCGCTTGACCTGGGTAGAGTCCGGAGCTCCGTCCGGATTTGTGGATGTGTTTGCTTCCCTGACTGAGCCGTGAGTTTCTGGAGGGTGGGGACCTTGTCCTCCTGAGCTCTGCCCCCCAGGCCTGCTATGGTGTGAATGTTTCAAAAAGCTCGTGTTAGAAACTTAATTCCCAGCATTGAGACGTGGAGCCTTTTTTTATATTTTTACTGCAGAAGTTGGACCTGTGGACTGGGCCTCACGAGGGGTGGTTTGGCAGTGAGGAGTCTGACATCATGAATGGATTAGCGTCATTATTAGGAGAGTGAGGTTGTTACTGCGGGTGACAGGGTGTGTTCCGACCATTCTCTCTCTCTCTCTCTCTCTCCCTCTCTCCCACTCTCTCTCTCTCCCTCTTTCCCGCTCTCTCTCTCTCCCTCTCTCACGCCATCCCCTGCTCTTCCACTTTCTGACATGGGATGATGAAGCAAGAAGACCCTCACCAAATGCCAGCCCCTTGATCTTGGACTTCCCAACCTCCAGGACTGTGAGAAATACATTTCTGTCCTTTATAAATTTCCAAGTCTCATGTATTCTGTCATAGCAGCACAAAATGGACAAAGACAGAAAACTGGTACCAAGAATTGGAACTGTTGCTGTAATAAATTCCTGAAAACGTGGAGGTGGCTTTGGAACTGGGTAATGGGTAGGAGCCGGGAGAAACTGGAGGATTCGGCTAGGAAAAGCCCAGATTGCCGCAGAGGAGCCTTCAGGGTGATTCTGGGGAGGGCTCAGAAGACGAGAACAGCTGTAGGCAAAGTCTGAACCATCTTAGAGGTCCCTTAGGTGACTGTGACCAGTATGCTGGGAGAAATGTGGACAGTCAGGTTTATCCCGATGAGGTCTCCCACGAGTGAGGAATACGGTATTAGGAATCGGAGGAATGCTCATCCTCGTGACAAAGTGGCAAAGAACTTGGCCGATGTTGTACAGGTGCCCAAGGACCTTATGGAAGCAGAACTTCAGAGGAATGAACTAGGATGTGTGGACGGAGACTGTCTAAGCAGCGAAGCCTTGAGCCTTTGCTTTCCCAGGCTCGGGCTGGAGGGAATTGCCTCAGGGTGAATCCTGCCTTGAGTCCCGCCCAGATCTGCTTAGATCAGACTCTGGAGTTTTGGAATGAGCTGCGTGGTTTCTGTTAACCATACGTAGAAAAATGCAAGAGGATAGAAATGATTTAAAGACAGAATTGTAATTTAAAGGGAGGCAGAATGGAAAGATTGGGAACCGTGCAGCCTGGCCACGTGGAGCATGAAAAGGTGTGTCTAGAAGCAAACGAAGGGTGTGGAGACACTACCATTTGCTAAAGAGATTAGTTCAGCTAGAAGGAAGCCAGCTGCATTCATCACGACAGCAGGAGAGTGACCCCAAGGGCATCTTAGAGATCTCTGAGGCAAGCGCACAGTTTCCAGAGAGGCGCCCCCCTCTGTGCCACCTCAAGTCCCTGTCCCCCATGTCCACTCTGGCTGGCGCATTTCCCCTTGGCCGCCGCAGCTGGGGCTCAAGCTGGCCCAGGTGTGGCTGTGCGCACTGCTCTGTAAGGAACAGGCTGGGACCCTGGGCAGTGTCCCCGCGGCGCTCAGTCTGCAGGCTCCCGGGTGCAAGAGCTGTGGGGGCGGCTTCCTCCACCTCCCCGTCAAAGGATGTTTTGGACAGCCTGGGGCCCAGCGAAGACTTGTCACAGGGACAGGGCCACTGCGGAAGCACCCACAAGGGCAATGCCCAGCAGTACTCCGGGTCCGAGCTGGCACAGAGAGTCGCCATCAGGGCAATCAATGCCTCGTGGGGCCGTGGGATCGAGGCTGCCCCAGAGCCCAGAGCTGTGGAGCTGCCGTTGCGCAGCTCCGGCCCGCAGAGCTGCTGGCGTGAGACGCCAACCTGTGAGAGCTGCCGCCTGCGCCAGCACTGCACTCCCGCCCCAGCGTGCCCGAAGCTAGCACAGGCACTCAAAGACTGTTCTTAAGTTTTAAGAGTTAATGCTGTTTGTCCTGTTGGGTTTGGGACGTAGGCCTGGCTTCCCCTTTCTTCCCGCCTATTTCTCCCTTTTAGATAGGGAGTGTCTCTCCTGTGTCTTTGGGAACAGATGACTTGCTTGCTCTCCCAGGCTCGGGGCTGGAGGGAATTGCCCAGCATGAATCCTGCCCTGAGTCCCACCCATGTGTGTTTAGACCAGACTCTGGACTTTGGACTTTCAGTTGGTGCTGGGCTGAATTAAGTCTTTGGGGCTATTGGGATGGAATAAGCGTATTTTGCAGTGAGAAGGACACTCATTTGGGGGCAGGGGTGGAATGCTATGGCTTGAATGTGTACCCCCAACACATTTGTTGGATGCTTAATCCCCACTGCAGCAGTGTTGGGGTGTGGGGCCTAATGGGAGGTGTTCGAGTCCGGAGGCTCTGCCCTCATGAAGGGCTTAATGCCCTTATCAAGGGTGGATTCATTCATTCCCTCTCTCTCTCTCTCTCCCTCCCCCCTTCTGTCTGCCACCTTCCACCTTCCACCATGGAATGACGCAGCAAGCAGACCCTCACCAGATGCTGGCTGCCCAATCTTGTACTTCCATCCACCAGAGGCGTGAGAAATAAATTTCTGTTCTTTATAAATCGCCCAGCCTCAGATACTCTGTTGTAGCAGCACACAGCAGCCTGAGACAGGGCCCGGGAGACTGGCAGGGAGCGCTGCTGAAGAGGGAAGGAGACAGGGATGGGGAGGAAGGTGCCCCCGTGGGACGCTGGCCTGGGCAAGGTGCCCAGGCGAGGACGCAGCCGCTGCATCTGAGTCGACAAGAGACACGTGGGGCTTCGGGGTGTGCCAGGACAGGTAGGCTTGCTGCATTTCAGCAGTAGGGAGTCATGAGGGGTTCTTGAGCACAGTTGTGACTTAATGGAATTCATGTTCTAGGGGGAGGTCCCTTGGGGTGACCAGCTCCCACCTGCTGTCCTGGCCAGGTCCAGACCCTCTGCCATTCTCTGCCGACCCTGAGTCTGGGGAGTCCGTGCAGCCCTGTGAGCTGCGCTTATGTCCACCTGTCTATGATTGAGAACAGATGGCCTCTCCCAGGTTATCAGGGCCCAGCCTGGCATTTCTTTTCTTTTCTTTCTTTTCTTTTTTTTTGAGACAGAGTCTCACTTTGTTGCCCAGGCTAGAGTGAGTGCCGTGGCGTCAGCCTAGCTCACAGCAACCTCAAACTCCTGGGCTCAAGCAATCCTCCTGCCTCAGCCTCCCGAGTAGCTGGGACTATAGGCATGCACTACCATGCCCAGCTAATTTTTTCTATATATATTTTTGGTTTGCCAATTAATTTCTTTCTATTTTTAGTAGAGACAGGCTTGCTGTCTTGCTCAGGCTGGTTTCGAACTCCTGACCTTGAGCAATTGTCCCTCCTTGGCCTCCCAGAGTGCTAGGATTACAGGCATGAGCGACCACGCCTGGCCTACCCTGGCATTTCTTAAAGGTGCCCAGGTGTCCAAAGTCGTAAACCAACAGTCAGAAGGCCCAAGTTCAAGTTCTAGTTCTGCCCATCCAAGTTCCTTGGGGGTGTTGAACAAGTCACTTCCCCTCTTGGGCCCTGGATTTCTCCATCTGTCAAATGGGAGTGCTGACTCCTGCCTTGGTTGTTCTGAGGGTCAAATAAGGCTGGCCCCAAAGGGATGGTCACCTCAGGATGGTGGCTGACAGCACTGGACTCTCCTTGGGCACTCTTCCCAGGCTGGATGCCGGGAGTGGCCAGGGGCACGAAGCCCAGGCCCTGTAGAGAGGGGGATATGGGCTGGTGACTCAGTGTCCTGTTGCTATGTCCCCAGCACCTGGGACTGACTGAGACTCCCGGCGTTGGGCCGACTTGAAGGACAAAGACAGCTGAGTGTGGCACTGCGTGGAAGGGGCTCAGGTGTCTGTGAGTTCCCAGATTGTCAGGAAGAATCGCATCAAAACCAAACCGGCCCCTGTGCGTGCTGCATTGTCTTCTAGAGCCCGGGCACTGAAGCTTCCTGCAGCAGATACAGTTTGCACGTGGATCTGAGCCAAAAGCCCTCTCCTTTAACAAATGGGGAAACTGAGGCCCAGAGAAGTCCGGGGATGGGCTCTGGGGATCTCAGGCAGCAGAGGCAGAGCCCGAGCTGGCCCAGGCCCCCTGCCCAGGAGGCTGAGATGCCAGCGTGTGTGGGGAGCTGGTGCTGCTCATGGGCAGCCGGGCCCCACGGCCCACTAATTAGTCACATCATTTTTGGCATCTCACGCAGCCTCGGGGAACTGGAGAATGTCATTGTCAAAGTATTTTTGAATATTTGCCTTCTCAGCAAGAAGATGAGAAAGCTGTGAGAACACTCAGTCTTCCAGAGGACGGATACTAACAAAATCACAAGCGGCCTGAGCTGGAAGGATCTGGGAGCCTGGGAGACAGGCCTGGAGGAATGCCAGGTGCTGCCCGTCGCAGCTGCGTGACTGTGAGGCGGAGGCTCTGCCCCCTGGGCCTCCGCGTGCTCACCTGTGAAGCGGCTCGTTGGATTCTCAGGTGCTGATGGACGCCTTGCCCTGGTCCGCAGAGCAGGACAGACAGCAGCCGGCTGCCACGGCTGCCGTGCTCCGAGCGACTGCACAACGCACGTAAGACCTGCCCTTGGGTGGGGGCGGTGGCCTTTTCCAAGAGGTGGTCACCTGGGTGACCTGAGTCACAAGAAGGGGACACCTGAGTCAGGATGGGAAGGGGGTGAGGAGGAGCCCAGGGGGGACCGGGGAAGAGCACCCCGCCCCGGAGCAGCCAGGCGGGCTTGGGGGCCTCGCTGTGTCTGAGGACCGGCAGGGGCTGCGGGGCTACAGAGGAGTGGTGACTCCGCCAGGGCG